ACGGTGCTGCAGGGATTTTTAGGTGTACCTCTCCGGGCTCTTGGATACCTTTTTCTCGTTATATGTGTTCGTGTTCTTTAGATCCTCAGATGGCTCTAGCACTTTCGTGACCACGGGCTGAGAGTCTTTGCTAGATTTTGGCATTTAGCAACTGACATACGGTTTAATGTGAAGACAACATCAACACGTCCTTGTGAGGGGGGGTCTCATCTCCCAGTTTCGCTGCGAGCACTCTAATTAATCGACAAGTCTCGGTCCAGAGCGCTCAAGCTGAACACCCTATGAATCGATAGGTTGGAAGACCCAAAAAGCCCCACCCTTCGCCATTTTTGTTGCAACCGCCCAGCAACCGCCAGATCTCCTTTTCCGCGTGTGGGCCGCTCACAGGCAATACTTTAATTGTCATTTTGAGCCCTGAAGGGCAACCATTTCATTTCACTCGGATTCAATCTACGACAAGAGAAGGATCGTACTCCTGTAACATCATACTCCAACAACATGTGGGGCACAAACTGTGACATGGTACTCCTAAAACATGACGCACACACGTTCTCGGTGCCGCGGGTGGGTGAGCACAAGTGCCCCAACAACAATTGAAACGATCCCAGCACGGAAAACAGCCAGTAGAAACCAGGATCGAGCGAGTACTGCAAAGGAAACGATCACGATCACGCATGAACAAATGATCCCGCAGAGGCCAGCTGAACACTCGAGGTAGAAAAAGAAAAAGGCAACAGGTCACACAAGGGCCACCTCACCAGTTCGTCGGTAGCCGTGTCCCGGTCCTTCTCCAGCTGATCTATAGACTCTTGCACGCTGCGGACCTATCATATCAAGACATACGTAAGCATACGACGGATCGGCGAGTGCGTTCAAGGAAAAGCAGGCGGGTGAAGGTTCTTTGTCTGCGGCGTGAACAGCAGTGTGTGGGGAGATGCAACAGAGAGAGAGAGAAGAGAGAGGATGAGAGAGACAGAGAGAGAGACCGTGCGCATGGAAGTTCAGCATCGACTGCTCGATGGAGGAGGACAGAAAAGGGAACACAATACCCGCTACCCCCAACCACCTATAAATGCGTACTCACGTGTCGGTATGGCCATCGCAAAATGCCAAACTCTCGGCACTTCTTTAGCAGCCTTGCCACGGACACTTTTAGATCTCTGGCGACTGCTTCGATAGAACAAGTGTGCGGGGGGTAGGAGAGCCAAAGAAAAGCGAAAAAGAAGCAAGGGGCATCAGATACACAAATCCGCGGACTGAAAACGTGCGTAAGATGTGAGAGTTCAGCAGGCTGCCATGCCGTAAGAATCGTCACAAATGAAGCCGCCTGAATCTACGAGCGGCTGAACGAAACGATCACCAAAGCTGAAGCATCATTACACCAGAACGATTCCTGTGTGTAACTCTTATGTACTTCAGATGAGGGCCGCCTGGAAACTTAGGACTAAGTATTGACTACTCTACCAACAAACAAGGGTGACACTTACACGAAGCACAAAAATCAGGGTTATATGTAGACAACCACGCCTCAATCCGGGCGACAAGACCAGAAAAAACACCAAGGAGGAGCGATTGGTATAGCTCGGGGAACCGTACCGAGCACGAAACCTAGAAGTTGCACGGCTCCGAACATGCCCTCCCCCCTCCCACTTTCCAGCCCCAAGTGCACCCTTCTCGTCGAACGAGTGTCGTGTTAATTTAGTTCGTTATTTGGAAGATGCCGCACCCTTTCCTGCCTTTACCAAGCAAGCCATTTCTTAGACCATGGGGCACCTTCTTGAGGCGGTGTGGAACAAGGGGCGGCAAGTGGCGTAGATTTCACGCGTGCCCTAACCCCCAACACCAACCAACGTTTGCCATCACATGGAGAATTCCGGCTTGATGACGGATGCATGCTTGGTTGTATGCTGGTTACGTATGTACTTGTTGCCCTAAACTGCCCCAGGTCTAGGGCCAGCACGAAGGTGCTGTGCCGTGAAAGGCGGTCGCGGACATGAAATACTGGTTTCGACTGACTTCAAACGACCGACCGAAAGAAGGGCACCCCGTACAGCCGCAAACGACGACGACTGTCTACAAGGAGAAAAGACTGTCAAAGCCACACCAATCAACACATACACGTCGGTGACATGCAGATATAGAATACCATTTCAAACACCCACACACCAATAAACCAGGTTTTGACTCAAACGCAGACTACATAGTAGACGTCGGTCTAATATATGAACGTGACACCAGACAAAACTTCGACTGCTTCCACACACAATTCAGATGCAGATGGTATAAAATGTGTTGTTGCTAGAATAGAACGCAGAAAAACCGAACCTGAGTTCGCGAGATGGGGGATTTTCGTCTATTTGACAACCGCGCGTGGTTCATGTCTCCAACTTGCCATGTGCATATGCGCATCAGGGTCTACGGGAATTTTAAGTCTTTCGAAAAAATAATCATCTCCCCGCATGGAAATTGCTTTCTCGTCCCCCATGGGGAACGCTGCTGCCTGGTTTTTCCAACGCGAGGAAACCACAACTTCACGCATCATAATATGCTTGTACCAATGGCAGATTTCCCCCCTGGAAAAGGAGGGGCGGTAGACTGCTTGTTGTCCAGCTTATCTTTAGGCTGTCCATCTTTTGGAAGTCTTCAGTATATGCATGTACAATGCGGGAAAGTTGAGCGCTTGCTGTCTGTTCATACGGGGGTTTGCTCGCGTATCCAAGATATTTTTGGTTGGCCGCCACGGGAGTCTTGGAAGATGTCTTGAAATGAAGCAACAACGGATGGTAACGATCTATGCGTGGTTTCACAATTACAACCTACAATTTTTGGGCGTGACCGAGTGACATGTGACGCTACTGTGGTTGTTGAAGAAACCCTTCGTTTGTCACCATGCGAGATTCGAATTAAAATCTTGTAAGTGATTGGTTGGCGAGAGAAGGATTGCCGCGACCCAAAATCAGGGCAGTAGATACCGCCGTGATCATGCATGCGTGGGTCCCGATTTCGTACATACTCGATCTCCTCAGTGTACACAGACCGAAACAAACGTAGACGGTAGGTGGTTTGCGGCGAAGCCGGCAACATGCGGAAAGCAAAACAAACGACGACCAACTGACGGGAAAACAACCCCCGCCTTGCCACGTGCACAACTTGAAATGATGCGGGCGAGGAACAACATTGAAATGCATCGACGCCTGTCGGCACCATCATCTCCAGTTGCGCCCCCTTTCTCTTGGTGTACGTTGGCATCAAGGTTGCGCTGACACGGTTAGCCGAAACAGGGCAAGTCACCATGCACCCGCCGGCCATTCTTCGCTTCGAAATTTTATAATCGAGACCTTGCGAAACACCGAAACAACCGTCCACCAATGAGGAGCAAGTTTTCACTTGGCTGGGATGGGGTGGGGTTGGGACGGCAGTTTGTAGGCAAGCCGGTGACATCCTTGGAGCAGAACCCACGGCAGTAGCAGCGGCGGTGGCAGCAACAGCAGCAGCAGAATCATCTCACACACGGTAACACGAACGAACTCACACAAGCACAAGGACGAGGATTTTCGCGAGAGAAGAAGCGTTTCGAGGGAACAGGTGTGTGTCTTAAATATAAACATCGACCGCGCCAAGAGCTGTGTTTATCTGTGGGAGACGGATTTCACTCTCTGGGTGAAACCGATGCCAAAACATGGGCGGTTTGGGTAGAGAGCGAAAAAAATATATCCCTCACTCTGTCTTAACTGCTGTGCGCGTGCCCAAGGGCGGCGCCGCCCCCACGAGGACGCAAGAGCGCGCCGAAACACGCGAGCAAGCAGCTGCTGAACGGCAGACGGGGTGCACCGCCACGTTTGCTGCGGTCTGTGCAGGCAAACTGCTGTCGGTCGGGACGCCGGACACCCGCAGCAAGTAGAGAGCGAAAATCAAAGACCACCAAAAAGTGGCACTTCTCTAGCTAAACATAATCATACCGTTGCGCCTTGGTTGTCAAGCGTTTGCGCAGCATACAGAACGCGGGCCATGACTGTGTTGGGAGCCACACAGAGAGAATAGTCTTAGCGAGATGCTTAGCCGTGGTTGGTGGTTCCTGGCCCACCACCTTTGGCCGTTGTTTTTTCTCGCGACACCCACACAAAACCGCCGTGGTTTCGGTTGGGCGAGGCCCCTGCTGCAATGGAAAAAAATAGTCGGGCTGAAGGAGATAGATGTACAACCCGTACTTTCCGTGCCCCCGACACACTCACCATCAGACAGAGGGCGATGGTACTGCTCCTGCAACCGTTTGAGGCTGATGCTCTTGCACGCTTCGCTTGCTGCCGCTCGCTGGGCCGCGCTGCTCCCCCTGTGATGCATTACGCATGTGCAAAACAAAAAGTGAACCGGAGGAAAATGATAATTCTGCGTAGCAAGCTCTCCTTTTCAGCAGTGACAAGCAAATGAAGCAAGTCGCCGAAAGCTGCAGCATCGTCATCACTTTAACAACCACGTGGCGTTGGCAGCAGAAGTATCCTCTCTCCCTCTCTCTCTCCCTCTCTGTCTCCGCCAGCTTGATCCATTGCCGGATCCACCAGAAAGGCTAGAAATTGTTGTGCCTGCTCCCCCCCGTTTCAGCAGCAGCAGAGCCAGCACACACAGTTTTCCCCTCTGTTGTTTTTGAGCCTCTCCCCTCACCTTCCCTCCACGCGTGTCCGCTTCCCTGCAGTTAATGCGGCGCCTTTGCCGTCCTGCGCTTGCTCATCTTCGCTCATCGCTGCCCTCCCGAGACTCTTACAGTGCAACGCTTAGCTGCCGTGTTGCCGCGGCCAAGCCCGACTTGCAATCGTGGTAGGGGGGTGCACCAACGAATTAGAGCGAGCGCAACCGCGCGCACGGGTAAGGAAGGGGGCTGGCCCGCTCAGCGATGGTCGTTTGTTCGCTGGTCGTTGATGGTGGTTGCCAGCGGACAATTGTTTGGCTGCTTCAAAGAGGCAGGCGGAAAATACCGTATGCAACAAGCAACCGTGCTCAGTTCCTAATTCGCAAAAGTGATGCAGGTCAACGGTCTCTTGGGGAGGGTTAGGGTTTTTCTCCATTGTGCTTTGTACTTGCATCAGACGTCACTCGTCAACCAGAGGCCTCTGGCAAAGCCCCCGGCTCCTCACCGCTGCCCAGAGGCCTCCGTGGCCATCCGTGCTGCATCTACTGTCCCCCCACCGGCGGTCTAGGGGGGCAAGAGGGCACCAACAAGTCGTTGGGCACAATACGGTTTCCCTTCCCATTGCTCCCTTTCTTCTCTCCGTCCCTCTCTCGCTTCTTGCGGTAAAATATTCTGTTCTTTCCCTTATTTTCAAACGATCCGGCAGCTTCGAAGGCTGGCAGGACTACCGGTACACGTATGCATGCGACGTGCATACATGCATACAGAAGTAGCAGTAGCAGTGTCGTAAACCAAGAACACATGCCCCCGCCTCTATCAAGATAAGCGGGGCGGACGGCGCTTGCCATCAATTGGGTGCATCTCTTGTTTCCCGTCCCCCTGGGTGCATTGAAGAGTTTGGTTGGCAAAAGTGGGACGCGATTCATCTATTTTTGTTATACCAGTCGTTTCCCATGTATGTGCTGATGGCTGGGATGGGATGATGGTGTCGGTTGCACATGCTCGCCCACGCACACCTGCACTTCTCTCTGCCAGTTACAAAACACACACAACTCGCTCACTCATCTCTCTGCAGCATGGTGTTGAACCACCTACCTGCTGTGTGAAGGCAAAAACAACAAATGTACTAGCCTTGTTGTTGTTGTTGTTGTTGTCTTCAGCCTTGGTATGTGTTGAAAGAGTTTTTGTCGTTTCGTCGTGTGAATATCTTGAATCTAACACCTACGTACGTCCAGAGTACCCGTTTGGGGGGGGGCTAGGAATATTACAACCTGCGGGGCCCCGGGAGTAGTGTAGCAGCAGCAGCAGACTCATCAGCACAGGATAACCTCTCTGCCACTCCTCTCTCTCTCTTTTCTCTCTCTCTCGCTTGCAGAAGTCGACGAGTGTGATTAGTTATACCGACTCTCAGCCTTACCACCATGAACCTGGTCGGCGGCTATGCGTCCTCCGATGATGATGAACAGCTACCGCCGCCGCCGCAGCAGCAGCCGCAGCAGCAGTCCGAAGGAGCCTTGAAGCAGAATGGAAAGGCACGAGCGGTGGGAAGCGTGGTGACACCGGCAACAATCAAGGCTACCGGCAACAAGGGAAAGAAGCGGAGGAGTGGCAAGAAGACGACGGGCTTGAAGAAGAACAACAAGAAGACCGTCAACGCTCTCGTGCTCTCTCCCGAGATTCAGGCCGCGCTCGCTCGCGGAGACTCTCTAGGAGACAGCGACTCCGACGACGAGGATGGTGTCGCCAAGAAGCCCAAGATCGTCCGTCGACCCGCTGGAAGCGACCCGAGCGACCTGCTGTCGCTGCTGCCTCAGCCGTCCACAGCCGCGAGCGCAGATGACATTCTGCTCAAGAGTCAAAAGAAGAGAGACGACGCGAGGACGGCCAAGTCAGCAGCCGCAGCCGCAGCAGCGGCAACAGCAACACGACCAGCAACTGCTGGCGGCGGCGGGGGCATCGAAGGCCAGGCAGAAGAAGACCAAGAGTCCGAGTCGGACGAAGATGGGGACGACCTTCTCGCTGGGATGCACGCCAAGTCGGCGGCGGCGGCGGCGGCGGCGGCGGCGGCGGCGGCAGCGGCATCTGAAACCGGCTCTAGAAGCGGCCCTCTCTTCACCCTCCCCTCTCGAGCAAGACCGCCCCCCGCTGCCGCGCCCGCCGACCCACCGGAACAGGGCATGGAGGAGGTGGTCAGGCCTAGCGGGGAAGGCACAGCTGCGGTACCTGGGTATCTCGAGACAGGGACACCGGGCCTAAGTGCGGGGCAACAGCAGTGGGGAGGGTTTGATCGAGGGCATGCCGCGGCATCTCCCCAGGGAGGTTATGCTGGGGCCGGCGGCTACGGTGGAGCGGCGGGGGCAGTGGGAGGGGTTGCGGCGGCAGGAACAAGCGCTACAGATTACGCCGTGTATGGGGCTGCTTCACAACAGGTAGGGTATGGTTGCCTTGCATTGGGCTGTCTTTAATACGTCGGTGGTATTTCTGCGGCAACGTGTTGCTCTTCAGAGACGAGGTTTTCCTGTATGCACACCTCGGTGTTGTTTATGCCATTGACAACCTGCTGTTCGCGCCACCCTCTTCTGTCGACGAATGCGACAGCAGCAGCAGCAGCAGCAGCAGCAGCAACAGCAGCAGCAAACGCCATATTATTACCCTTATGCAGCTGGGGCGGCTGCAGGTAGCTACCAGCCCGAGTTCGGCGGTGGGGGAGCCAAGGCAACGAGGCGAAAAGGAAGGGATATGGAGCGCGCATTAGCGAGGGGAGATTTGGGAGCCTTGGGGAGCGAGGTGAGAACTGGCGAGGAAATTTCTCGGGTCGCCCATATTGATAAGCACTCTTACGCTGCACACGGCTTGCGTCGCTAGAAGGCTCCCGTGATCGGTGTATCTTCACGAGGCTGCCCCCTATATCACCCTTTCCCGCTCCGCTTGAATGGGTGCCCCAGATGCCGGTGATGGACCTACAACAAGGCACCAACGAATACAACCCCCTGCGAACGAAGCCGACCACGGCTGCCATGAACCAGGAGCAGAAGCACATCGAGAGCAGTGTTTACGACCCGAGCACCGGGAAGACAGTGGTGAGTCTACCGTGTGTCGCGGAAATGCGTTCGCACTGCCATTATTGTTGTGCTGAAACGTGTATGCCTCACCTGCTGTTTTTTGTATCCGAGGTAAAGATGTACTAGAGAACACACGGCGAGTGGCGTAAGCGCCCTCCCCCCCAGCGGTTTGACGAGGCGTCTTTTCGAGCCAACGACGACTGCTGCAGTGTACACATGTGTAACTTCCGTACCTTGTGAGCTCACCCGTCAGGTAGCTACTGCTGTGGGTGAGATGTACCCAACATGAAACGGGCATGAGTGTGCAATGCACAAAACGGAAGTATCTTGCACAGCAGTACCAACCCTCGAAACCTTGCTCCTAGGATAATAACGCGCCAAGTGGCGCGTTCGAACGACGGTTTATGTCTGAACGTGATAAAAACCATGGCGTACTTCACGAATTTTGTTTTTCTAGCGGGGGGGTGGGGGGCTTGTTTGGATACCCCC